TTTCGGCCCCCCCCCCCCCTTTTGTACATTTCTGGATCCGCCCCTGATATTAACAATAAAAAAAGCTAAAAAGCGATTGTTCATATAGAAAGTAAAAGGAATGAGAATTGTTTACACTATGACAATTCGATAACGATTTATCGTGTATACGATAACAAAATATTTTAACAAATCAAATCAGATGACGTCATAATCATGGAAAAACGATAAAATCATTGCTAATACTATGATTATAATGTTTTTCCATGGTTATGACGTCATCTGATTTGATTTGTCAAAATATGTTGTTATCGTATAACTAATAAATTGTTATCGAATCATTCTAGTGTAAAAACTCTTATTTCTTTTATTTTCTATATGAACAATTGCTTTTTAGCTTTTTTATCGTTATCGTTGAAGTATAAACATGCCTTACATGCCAAGTTGGAGGTAGCTATAGAGGCTTGAGATTTAACAAATTACAATTGGATATCAATTGTGAACGGATTTAGTGTCCTCTTCTGTGAATGAACATCTTTTAGCAAGGGTTTTTATTTCAGTTATGTATTCATCGAATGTTTGACCTTTTTGTTTACACAATGTAAATTCATGCTCTGCAATTAACTCGCTTTTCTTTGGTTCAAAGATCTTAGACAAAATTTCTTTTGCAGATGTGTATGTGTGAAGCATTAAGACACGCTAACGAGTATCGTCTGTCAGGTTGAGCGCAAGGAAGAGATTCTCTAGCCTCGCTGTCCATTTTCCAAACCTTTTTCTGACATTCATTTTGTCGTTTTCAGGATCAAACTCGGAAAATAACGGTAGTTTTTCCATATCTGCTTATTCCACGAGTTCAATATCCCTCGTCGCCAATGTAATATCTGTGTTGGATAATTGAGGATACTAAATATAGAGGAAATACGCCACGTCCTGTTTCTTGCACATCGTGATTTATTCAGCCATTGCGTCCGTTGCCTAGTATGTACTAGATGACATAGTTGACCTAGGGTCAACATTTCTTCAGGATATTACAGTGAATTGGGCAGTACACCAGGAGACAATCCCCTACTCTTTTTCCGAAGAGTATACTGCATTCTTTATGTGCACACAGGCCATAAATGCACGCAAGTCCGACAGCTTAAATGTCTCATTCGAAAGACAGTGCACTATCGTAACTTGTATTTTAGCCCTCAGCCGAAACACAAGGAGAGCAGTGATGGGAATTGAACCGGGGACCTAAAGATCTCCACGGTTCAGCGCATACACGGTGGTTGTCACCAGTTCAGCCGACTGAGCTAACCACGATCCCATCATTCCTTGCATTGCAATAAAAATTCATGAAATCTTTTAATCTCCGATGTAGGCTAACATGTTTCCATAAAATTGCTACTCTTGGTCTGTGAGCTACAGCTCCCCTGTCGGGGAGACCTTCTTCCCCCCCCCCTCGGGGAGAAAAATTATATTTGTATTGTATATATTAATAGACTAATATTAATAAATGTATTCTGTATATAGTAATAGACTCTAAAATTGATTAAATTAGCCTTTGAAACCCCTAATTTGTCATATATCCGGGGGAGGGGGGCTACGTCCCCTCGACCACTTTCGTCCCCCTGTACGTCTCCCCCTATTTCTTTTTCTTATATTTGGGAGGGGTGTGATCCTGAGTGGGTGTGGCCCGCCCATTGGCTCAGGCCACACCCGCTGACTAACATTTCAGACAGCCTGTTTTGTTTTTCTAGCTAAACCCCGCTGTGAAGTAAACTTGTCTTCATTCTGAGAGATGTGTATAAGAGACAGCACTATGACAATTCGATAACGATTTATCGTGTATACGATAACAAAATATTTTAACAAATCAAATCAGATGACGTCATAATCATGGAAAAACGATAAAATCATTGCTAATACTATGATTATAATGTTTTTCCATGGTTATGACGTCATCTGATTTGATTTGTCAAAATATGTTGTTATCGTATAACTAATAAATTGTTATCGAATCATTCTAGTGTAAAAACTCTTATTTCTTTTATTTTCTATATGAACAATTGCTTTTTAGCTTTTTTATCGTTATCGTTGAAGTATAAACATGCCTTACATGCCAAGTTGGAGGTTGTAGGCTAACATGTTTCCATAAAATTGCTACTCTTGGTCTGTGAGCTACAGCTCCCCTGTCGGGGAGACCTTCTTCCCCCCCCCCTCGGGGAGAAAAATTATATTTGTATTGTATATATTAATAGACTAATATTAATAAATGTATTCTGTATATAGTAATAGACTCTAAAATTGATTAAATTAGCCTTTGAAACCCCTAAATTGTCATATATCCGGGGGAGGGGGGGCTACGTCACCTCGACCACTTTCGTCCCCCTCTACGTCTCCCCCTATTTCTTTTTCTTATATTTGGGAGGGGTGTGATCCTGAGTGGGTGTGGCCCGCCCATTGGCTCAGGCCACACCCGCTGACTAACATTTCAGACAGCCTGTTTTGTTTTTCTAGCTAAACCCCGCTGTGAAGTAAACTTGTCTTCATTCTGAGTGTTTCATAGTTTTATTTTTGTGTCCAGCTTTTAAATTTTTTTTTATTGTTTAGTTGTACATTTGTACTTTATTGTAATAATTTGTCTGTATCCCTTTTTTATTTATTATTTTAAATAAATAGAAAATGCAATGGTGAAATGTGAAGTACTGTAGAACCTTTTTTCCCTTCATGCAGGCATTAAACTGTGAACTTGTAAACATGAAGGCATAGTATTGTGTAATAATAAGCGATTCATTTCTAATTCCCTTTAAAGCATTATTGAATGAAAAAATTGAGTCCAGGATGAATTAGGGTTATTTATGAATACTGTACTTCAGTACTTTGTACTTGTGCATTTGCAATTTTGGCATTTAGACTATTAGCATACTGAGTATACTGTAGTTATTCCTTAGCATAGCAAAGGATCGCCATACACTAGTTTCATAGTAGTACTGTACTGTATCTCAGCATAGAGCAGGGTTGTACAATGGTATGAGTACATTGGGCTCTGTGATACGAACAATAGCAATTACTATTTTATTGGCATCACTTTTATAATGTGCTGGCTGTGTCTAAACATTTGCTGCTATTACTTTGAAAATATACAGCTTTGTGGATGACTTTTACTATTGTGTAAAATTGTTTAAATCATGTAACAATATATAAACATGTTTTTAAAAGTTAAATATTAAGATTCGCTCTTTTATAAAGTATTACTATATATTATTCTTACCTGTTTTAAAAATAGAATGGTCTATTTTTTACCTATTGTTAATGGCAATTACTAGTAGTAGGTCGTCTTATTTTCCTTGCTAGGGATGCCCAGTTCTTCTGTATGAGTCATCATAAGTCACTCTGCACCAAGGTCACATTAGAGGCCATAGTAATTTACATAGGCCTCCAGGCTGGTGGTAGACTCAGCAGTAATAGTATTAGCATTGTTTTGATATACTGAGTCAGACTGGAAAGATACACAAACAAGTTCCTGGTTTCCTTTGTTTGACCACGTTATCATTTGCCATGGTTTGATGTTGATGAAAGTTTCTATATTACAGATCTTTCTTGGATGTGTTTTGTGTAAGTACAACAGGTTTTTTAGCGTAATTAATTTAAGATTCATTCAATAGAGCCAAACCTGAGGAGTAAATGTGCTAAATTATTAACATGTGTTGGCCCAAAATAGTGCTCATACTGTTCTTTACTGCCACATCTACAGCATGAAAACTACAGAGAGGACTACTTTAAACTACCATGGAATATTCATATTATTTAATCAAGGAGGTCCATCCCAATAACTTCAATAGAAATTGAGGTGTGACATAATAATTGTTCAGGATGGTATTTAGGAAGAGAGGTCAATAATATAGGATGTTACATGTTTTCCTTTACTGAACTATTGGCAGGATTTTGTGGTGAAGGAAGTTTTGGATGAGCTGTAAAACACAGTAATCATTGTTAATGTGTTATAAGGCATTTAATTACTTGTTTCAACTGCCCATCCTTAAATTTTAGAGTAGGAGAATTAACAACATTAACTTAATTTTTCATTTGGATTCCAGAATTGATTCAGACACGTCTACACACTGATAAATTTCTCTTTCAATTTTTATTATTTGATTGTAAAGGAAAGTCATATTATGTAGACTACAATAAAGGTGTTTAATTTCAATGTTATGAATTTGTATAATAATATATTTTAATATAAGGATTTTATTTCCTAGATACTAGATGTTCTGTTGTGATAAATAAGTATTAGTATTTGTAGAGTGATCTGTGATTAGGCGCTATATAAATACAGTTTTATTATTATTATTGTTTTATTTATAATTATTTCACTTTTAAGTAACATGGTCATAACATTCTTAAATTACTGTATTTGTTATAATTTACATTACATTTTTGGTTGTAAAGTAGTTTGATCAAAGATTTTAGCTCTTAAAAAGTAATTAAGATTTCTAATTCATTTTCATTCATTTGTAATGAAAATCATAAACACTGAAATATTTTGCTATGTTTACAGTAGGTTGTGTTTTTATTGACATTTTCACGACATTCATTTTTATAAATCAGCATGGTCATGTCTTTTCATTCATTGATATTTATGTGATCTTGAAACAGGTCTTTTTCAAATCCTCTCTTTTTAGAATCATGTTGCATTGAATCGGTTTCGAATCAGATTCGAAACTTGGGGACTTCCTGATCTCAATTCCTTATTCAATTCAAGTTTATCCTCATTGTTAAAGCAGAACTTGCATACCACAGTAATTGATGTGATCAGACACACTGTACAATTTAAAACAAATAGCATATAATCATCAGGTAATTTCTTCACCTGAATATTTGTGAAACCGGAAGATTTTGATATGGAGACCTTAGAATATGATGATAATCTCCCAACGCCCTGTAGTTCGGGTTCCATAAAATACCAACATCTCCGAAATTGGAATAAACGGATAAGCCGTGAGCAGCACGAGATAGATGCTCTACGTAGGATGTCGTACAACCCTAATAATCTGCGCAAAGCAGAAAGCCTGAACAGTATTAATTCAATGTCATCGGTTGAAAGTTTACCAGCTGATCTAAAGGATAATAGATGTTCAGTTGATTTTGATATGCTTGCTGATGCAAATCCTGTTGATTTACAGTTCCATTCCACACCACAGATGGCCAAGGTATGCTGAATTCCTAATATGCATGTGTTTAATGTTAACTCCTACTTTTTTCCATAGAGTAGAGACCTTTCCACATAAATGTTACACCTTTTGCAATTTTTGGTGCAACATTTTCTTTTTTATTGGAGAAGACAGTGAAGGAGGGGTGGAATTTATAAGGAAACTTTTTTTTTAATCATTTATTTCAAGTTATTATTTAAATCACTTGTATTGTACTACTACTGCTTCTTTAAGGTATGCACTCAGGATTTGAACTTTCATTTGAAAACATTTCTACTGTACATTTCTATCTATAAAATATAGTCTACAGTTTGTGTTGTTATTGGCATTGCTTTCAAATATCTTCAGAGCAAAAAATAATCAAGTTAAAGTTTAGTTTTCTTGGTTTACATGAAATTAATTTTCCAAGGTTCAAATAATATTTAAACTATATGTACACAATAAAAAGTTATAATACACAGTATTAAAACCTCAATGTCGGGTAATTTACAATCTTTTATGACTGAGGGACATGTTTGCTTTAATGAAATCTGTCTGTAACCGAAAATAATTATTTAATCAATTAAAAAATTCTGGACTGCCAGAAGCAACTGTATTTTTTTTATTATTGTTGAAATAATAATTTAATTTTCATGTTTCATTCAAATGCAAACTAATAATGCCTAGTACTCAATTAAGTGTCATAGCAACCATGCTGTTTTGTTGATGACATGCCCATTCCATTAAAGCATACAGTAGCTGTTGAATTAATTTTAAAAAAGTAATAAATGTTTATTGTTAATGAATATCAAAGCTTTCTAAGGGGTTGTTCACAATTATCAACATTTTTGATAGTGTGTGTACTACAAACAGTACTCTTTTTCAGTACCCCATCCCTCCCCTATGAAAGTGTACATAAAAAATGTTGATTTGGCAAAACCATGGATTCTCCATTTTTTGTAAGTCAACTAAAGTACTGTACCTGGTTCCATAAATTGTCTAAAAAAAAATCTATTACTTTAAATATTGCGTGTATTTGAATCAACATTTTCATGAATATGTAAAGTGTACACACTTGTCAATCCCCGTGTTAATTGTGAACGATTCCTGAAAAAAAAATAGTTGTTTGGGAATTCTTCATAATCTCTTTCACATCATCAGAGAGTGTATAGATATAGAATTTACAAATATTTTCTTCAAGTACTTATTAGCTAAAAATGGAAATGTTATTTTGATTCGCAATCATCATTATTGGTGAACAGCAGGTTCGCCTGGGCCCCGGGGCCCTGGCCCTGTCCCTGTCTGATCCCACCTCTTTAACATGAACGGGCCACACACAATACGATATCTTAAAACGCCTCATTCGAAAGATTGTGCCCTACTGAAACTTGCTTCAGACCTCCAGCTGAAAAGCAAAGAGAGCAGTGATGGGAATTGAACCAGGAAACAAAAGGTCTCCACAATTAGCGCACACACTGTGGCTACCATCTGTTTATTGATTGAGCTAAGCTGCTTTATAAAGCCGGGCACTTGCAGCGCCACGACGTGCATGCAAAAGATCATTTTTCATGATTGCTACCGACAATCAGCAGATCTGTCGTGTCATAGATGTGTATAAGAGACAGGGGTTGTACAATGGTATGAGTACATTGGGCTCTGTGATACGAACAATAGCAATTACTATTTTATTGGCATCACTTTTATAATGTGCTGGCTGTGTCTAAACATTTGCTGCTATTACTTTGAAAATATACAGCTTTGTGGATGACTTTTACTATTGTGTAAAATTGTTTAAATCATGTAACAATATATAAACATGTTTTTAAAAGTTAAATATTAAGATTCGCTCTTTTATAAAGTATTACTATATATTATTCTTACCTGTTTTAAAAATAGAATGGTCTATTTTTTACCTATTGTTAATGGCAATTACTAGTAGTAGGTCGTCTTATTTTCCTTGCTAGGATACATGGTAGTTAAAATATTATTAAAATCCTTTGCAAAACAATTGGTAATAATACCAGATTCATGTGCTGCTTTACATTCTTCAATGAGGTTTTGGCCTACAAACTCTGGCTATAGTAATTGACTCTAAAGATGTAATTGTCCCCAGAAAATGACTAAAAAAAATCATTAAACAAAAATTTTGAAATTTACATGCTCATTTTTTAGTAACATACAAATTGTTAACTTGAACATATAAATTATTTAATTATTACTTGATAATAAAAATAATAAATTCTTCCAGTGCCTGTAAGTGTTTCTAGTATTTTTTGGTCTAAATTATGGGTCAAATCCTTTTTTTAAATTTACACTAATTTCTACGTTCAAGTTGATCATGTTTTTGTTAATTTGAAATGAGCAAGATAATTTCAAAAATCATTTTTATATATTTTAATTGTAATTGTCCCCTGAAAATGACTAAAAAAAAATCATTAAACAAAAATTTTGAAATTGACTTGCTCATTTTTTAGTAACATACAAATTGTTAACTTGAACATATAAATTATTTAATTATTACATGATAATAAAAATAATAAATTCCTCCAGTGCCTGTAAGTGTTTCTATTATTTTTTGGTCTAAATTATGGGTCAAATCCTTTTTTTAAATACACTAATTTCTTTGTTCAGGTTGATCATGTTTTTTGTTAATTCGAAATGAGTAAGATAATTTCAAAAATGATTTTTATATATTTTTTTTGTATTTTGCATGGGACACATCTTTAAAAAAGTTGAAAATGTGTTTAAAAGTATTTTATTTTAAAAGCATTTCTTGGCTGATTTCATAACACCGTAAAGTGTTGATAAGGCATTGTGTTGAAATATAGTTTAATGACATCCGTCATCATTGTCATCATCATTCATAAAGTGTTCCTTGTGGGTTTAATTCTCTTGGTGAACACATTATGGGAAAGGAAGTATTATAGATGGTTTTAGAGAATGATTCCTTGAATGTGAAATTTAGTGGTTAAAAATATAGTCTATTATGTACTGTAGGCTTCACACTACAGTTCATCTTTTTCACAAATTTAATTATTCATAAAGACAAAATGTTTCGGTTCATTAGTCAACAATTTTTTACACTATTTAACCTTTTAGCGTGTGGATTGCTAATCCTGAGAGCAGTATTGTGATATTTGGTTAGGCCTTGCATTTATCTGGCCATTGATTTACAACCAAATCAGCACTTTATAAGCAAACCTTCAGATTAACAGCATTATAACAATACAGCTTCGACAGATGTCACTTCAGAGCAGGATGCTGTACAGCTACATTGATTATCCGATTTTGTTTAAAATATCTATCTGTGTCTAGTTTTGGATCATACTTGGAAGAAGAAATCTATCTTAGTGATGGATTATTTTTTTGTTTGTCATGGAATTTCTCATTTACCATAGCTGTTAATGCTTTATCATGTGGCACTAGGACTTGGAGGATTGGAAATTACCGCAGCGACAAGTACATGTAATTTGTAATTATACCAAGTTGTAGTTTATGTACATATGCAGTGGATGGATACTCACATGTACAGTAATGCATGGGATGTCATTTATACCTAGACGACATTATGTAGATTATCTAGAGACACAGGTGAGAATGATGTAGTGCATGTGAGAGATAGAGGTATGTGTTGGGTTTTCATGGGGGTTTGTGAGAGGTAGATGTACAGTATATGTTTGTTTGTATTGGGGTTTTTTGTAGGGAATTGTGCTCTACTTGTGAGAGGTAGAGGTTGGGGTTGTATCCAGGGGTTTCTATAATTATGTTTATGAATTTTATGACTTCCATATGTTTTGAATGTGGACTAAAATTATTCAAGTAATGACATCCTGAACGGTAGCTACATTGATTGTTGATTATGACATTATTAGGTATTTATCATTGGTACTGTACTGTTGTTATTTATTCCTGCTCATCTGTGTGCTCATTTACAATTTTTCAAGTATCATGTTTACGCTGTTGTTTTTCTTTTTGTCTTAAACATTTCTTTCAACATTTCAAGTCATGGATATCAAAATCTTGTTGATATACTCTGATTACTATATTATTATATCCAATTGTTATTTTTCAGGAGCGTAACAGGGGTCTTGGGTTGGGGGGTAATTTATCATACCCACACCCCATCTCCCCCCCCCCCCATATAGAAAGCAATACGACATGAGGCTTATCTTATTTATAATATAGGCCACACACGTGTGTTTGAAACTAAATATAAGCATTTTCATCATGGTTTTATTTATTACAAACAAATTTTTTTTTTGAATTTACGGCTTATGTTATATTTAGTTATACCCTTTAAACTGAATATAAGCATTTTCATTATGGCTTTATTTATTACAAACATATTTTTTCACCATCACTACACATTGAGGCCCTTCTTTTGGGTAAAATGATCTATCTTAAATTTTCTTTCTTGGGACAATTATGTGTTTAAATAACTTAGAAGGGTAACCCCAAAAAATGTGCGCAAAGCGCGCAAAAACTTTTTGTGTTTTTAATTTAATTTCGTCGAAATTGATCAAAACTCCCTAAAATGTGCAATTTTTAGAGGAAAATTGGCCTACCTTAACAAGAAATGCGTGCGAAATTTGAGATTTTTAGGCACATTCAGGGGGTGAAAAGGGCATTTATCAAGGGGTGGGGAAAGATTTTCCTCAGATGGATATTTTCCTCAGATGGATATTTTCCCCTTGTCCCCCGGTGGTTACGCCACTGCGGAGAATATCTGGCAGTTTAGATCAAAGGAGCTATGAACACTTTTTGAAGTGAAGAAGGGGTTGCAGGGTGTTGTGAGTCTGGTTGTTATGGTATCTTCCTTTTTATTCTTGTCTTTATTTTTCTCTTCTTTTTTTCTTTTCATTTTTCCTTTCCTTTTATTTTCCCCTTCTATCTCTTTCCCTCCCTCTCCCTTCTTTCTTTTCTCTTATTACCCAGCCCGGTACAACGGCTTGGTCAGCCCGATAAGGACCGTCAGGGAGGTGGGGCAGTCTTCCCCCACCTGATACGCCACTGTTTTTGTA